AGGATGGCTTCCAGCTTGTTTCACCTTGATATCTGTATTCTTTTCCCACATTGCTCATACTCATGCCATAACATACTTCTTTCATTTCTTGAAATCACAAGCTCACTTACTTTCTAGCTCAACCATATTTAGACCTTTCTTTCTAGACCCAGGACCTACCTCCTCTCTCTCTCAGAGCACTCTGTTATAGTATATATCATACTGTTATGATTTTGTTGTTGATTTTTCTACTAGATCCTAAAAGGTCTTTGTAGACAAGGGACAGTATAAAATCACCTTTATTTCCTTGCTGGATATCACAGTGCTTGTTATAGGAAGGCTCAGTAACTATTTGTTGAATGAATGAATGTATATTAGGCACCAAACAATATTGAGCTCTTTTTAATTTTTTTAAATTTAGAGTTCAAGGAATTAATATAAAAGAATACTATGAGGCCAGGCGCAGTGGCTCATGCCTGTAATCCTAGCACTTTGGGATGCCTAGGTGGGTGGATCACTTGAGCGTCAGTAATTGGAGACCAGCCTGGTCAACATGGTAAAACCTCATCTTTACTAAAAATACAAAAATCAGGTCAGGCATGGTGGCTCACACCAGTAATCTTAGCACTTTGGGAGGCCGAGGTGGGTGGATCACCCGAGGCCAGGAGTTCAAGACCAGACTGGCCAACATGGAGAAACTCCATCTCTACTAAAAATTCAAAAAAAATTAGCCAGGCACAGTGGCGGGTGCCTGTAATCCCAGCTGCTCGGGAGGCTAAGGCAGGAGAATTGCTTGAACCCAGGAGGTGGAGGCTGCAGTGAGCTGAGATTGTGCCATTGCACTCCAGCCTGGGAAACAAGTGAAATTCTGTCTCAAAATAATAATAATAAAAAAAATAACAGTTGCAGGCTGGGTACGGTGGCTCATGCTGTAATCCCAGCACTTTGGGAGGTTGGGGTTGGTGGATCATTTGAGGTTAGGAGTTCAGGACCAGCCTGGCCAACTTGGTGAAATCCCATCTCTACCAAAAAATATAAAAATTAGCCAAGCATGGTGACACATGCCTGTAATCCCAGCTACTCAGGAGGCTGAGGCAGGAGAATCACTTGAACCCAGGAGGCAGAGGTTGCAGTGAGCCAAGATCACACCACTGTACTCCTGACTGGGCAACAGAGCAAGACTCAGTCTCAAAAAAGAAATAACTTCTTTTTTTAATTCTAGGAATTTATAACCATAAATTTTACTCTTAGCACTGCTTTTGGTGCATCCCCTAAATTTTGTTACATCGTTTTTGTTTTTACTTGTTTCCAGTTATTTTCTTTTTCTTTTTTGAGATGGAGTTACGCTCTTGTTACCCAGGCTGGAGTGCAATGGCGTGATCTCGGCTCACCACAACCTCCGCCTCCTGGGTTCAGGCAACTCTCCTGCCTTAGCCTCCTGAGTAGCTGGGATTACAGGCACGCGCCACCATGCCCAGCTAATTTTTTGTATTTTTAGTAGAGATGGGGTTTCACCATGTTGACCAGGATGCAGTTATTTTCTAATTTCCCTTTTTTTTTTGAGACAGAGTCTCTCTCTGTCACCAGGCACCAGGCTGGCGTGCGGTGGCACAATCTCGGCCCACTGCAACCTTCACCTCCCGGTTTAAGCAATTCTCCTGCCTCAGCCTTCTGAGTAGCTGGGACTACTGGCGTGTGCCACCACGCCCAGCTAATTTTTGTATTTTTAGTAGAGACAGGATTTCACCATGTTGGCCAGGATGGTCTCGATCTCTTGACCTCGTGATCTGCCCACCTTGGCTTCCCAAAGTGCTGGGATTACAGGCGTGAGTCACCCTGGCCAGCCTTCTAATTTCCCTTTTAATTTACATCTATATATAAAATTAATATTGTTGAGATTTGTTGTTGGTCATGATGTTTTAAAATTATTTTTCCAGCATATTAAGATGTTATGTTCTGAGAGAAAGTGCCTGGCATTACAGTTTTTAAGTTCAGTGAATACCTTTTTCCTTAGAAGTTCAATTTTTTTTTAAGTTTCCCTGATTTTTAAAATTTTATTTTAATTTTTTGTTTGTTTTTTGAGACAACGTCTCACATGTCATCCAGGCTAGAGTGGAGTGCAGTGGCATGATGACAGCTCATTGCAGCCTTGACCTCTCTGGGCTCATGTGATTCTCCCTCACAAGTAGCTGGGACAGTAGGCACATGCCACCACGTCTGGCTAATTTTTGTAGAGACCGGGTTTCTCCATGCTGCCCAGGCCTGTTTTGAACTTCTGGCCTCAAGCAATCCTCCCATCCCTGGTCATTTTTAATCATATCTTAATTTTTCTTTATGCTTTTGCTTTTTAAATTTTTTTTATTTTTTTGCCTCCTTTTTTATAGCTTTGTTTTAAATATACTGTTCTTATTTTATAATACTTCCTGTAATCTTGGTATCTAACCCTTTGAGATATTCCCTTATGGCACCCATGCTAAATTGTTTCATTGTATGTTTTATAATTTTAGGTAGTGTAGTCATGTTCATTGGGGCTTTAATTACAGAAATCCCTGGAGATCTTGGTTGAGGACCTAAACTGGTATATCATCTATCTACCTGAGTGACAGGCTGGAGTGCAGTGGTGAGATCATGGCTCACTGCAGCCTCTGCCTCTCTGGGCTCAGGTGATCCTCTCACCTTAGCCCCCTGAGGAACTGGAACTACAGGCCCACACCACAATTCCTGGCTAATTTTTTTTTCGTAAAGATGGGATTTCGCTGTGTTGCCCGGGCTGGTCTCAAACTCCTGGGCTCAAGCTTCCCAAAGTGCTAGGATTACACACATGAGCCACTGGGCCCATCCAGGCACATGTGTTTCAGATGATCAAAGGAAATTATTGGCTCTTTGTTCGCAATAATTCTAGTTGTATGATAAATTAGCATTTGCCTCCTTCCTGGGCCGATTTTTATTGCAGAGGTCTTAAATTAATTTTGTTTGTCTCCCTGAGCCATCTTCAGTTTATTTTTACCTAATATTCATATTTTTCTTATTTAGAGGGCAGGAAGTCTTTGTGTGTGTGTGTGTGTGTGTGTGTGTGTGTGTGTGTATGTTTATGGAGTCTCGCTCTGTTGCCAGGCTGGAGTACAGTGCTGTGCTCTTGGCTCACTGCAATCTCTGACTCCCAGTTCAAGGGATTCTGGTGCCTCAGCCTCCCAAGCAGCTGGAATTACAAGCATGCACCACTATGCCCAGCAAGTTTTTGTATTTTTAGTAGAGACGGGGTTTCACCGTGTTGGCCAGGATGGTCTCAATCTCCTGACCTAGTGATTCACCCAGCTCAGCCTCCCAAAGTGCTGGGATTACAGGTGTGAGCCACCGAGTCTGGCCATTTTATGTGTTTTTTAAAAAATGAAAATAATCTTGGCTGGGTGCGGTGGCTCATGCCTGTGATCCCAGCACTTTGGGAGCCTGAGGCGAGTGGATCACTTGAGGTCAGGAGTTTGGGACCAGACCGGCCAACATAGTGAAACCCTGTCTTTACTAAAAATGTAAAAATTAGCCAGTGTGGTGGTGGGCACCTGTACTTCCAGCTACTCAGGAGGCCGAAACAGGAGAATGGCTTGAACCCGGAGGCAGAAGTTGCAGTGAGCCAAGATTGCTCCATTGCACTTCAGCCTGGCTGACAGAGTGAGACTCTGTCTCAAAAAATAATAATAATAATAATTGGATTAAGCTTCGAAAGTTAGGAAAAAACCTTATGCAGTTAATATGGTTTAGTAGTGAGAATTTAGGGAACAATGAGAAATAAAATGGTAGGTGAAAAGTTAAAAAAAAAACAGAAAAGTCTTTTTTTTTCGACATAAAGATGTACGTTTTTCTGACAAATATACTTTCCATGGGCAGGTGAAAACTTACCCATATTGCTGGGGGGAGGGGGGAGTATAACTTAATAGTTAATTGACTTTTAATCTCAGTTTAATACTCTTTAAGTTTTATTTATTTATTTTGAGATGGAGTCTTGCTCTGTCACCCAGGCTGGAGTGCAGTGGCTCAATCTTGGCTCACTGCAACCTCCACCTCCTGGGTTCAAGGGATTCTCCTCAATCAGCCTCCCAAGTAGCTGGGATTACAGGCATTCACTGCCATACCTGACTAATTTTTTATTTTTAGTAGAGACGGGGTTTCACTATGTTGGCCAGGCTAGTCTCGGAACTCCTGACCTCAGGTGATCTGCCTGCCTCGGCCTCCCAAAGTGCTGGGATTACAGGCATGAACTACCGCGCCTGACCTAAGTCATTTTTAAATGCAATATATATCCTGTTACCTAGCATATTTGAGGATTGTCTCCCACCCCCGCCCCCCCGGGATTATCTTTAAAGAAATTTATGTATTTGTTGCGACAGAGTCTCCCTCCGTCATCCAGGCTGGAGTGTAGTGTGGCACGATCTCAGCTCACTGCAATCTCTGCCTCCTGGGGTTCAAGTGATTCTTGTGCCTCAGCCTCCTGAGTAGGGAGGGATTACAGGCATGTGCCACCATGCCTGGCTGGTTTTTTTGTATATCTATTAGAGAATGGGGTTTCATCATGTTAGCCAGGCTGGTCTCGAACTCCTGACCTCAAGTGATCTGCCCTCCTTGCCCTCCCAAAATGCTGGGATTATAGGCATAAGCCACCTCACCTGACCGGAAGTATATTAAGGAAGAAAATTTCACTACTTTATATCATATCAATAAAGTTGGTAGACTTCTTATTCAATTGGAATGATACAAATTAGAAGGACTATAGATGTGAGCAGAAATAAAATTGCCAGGTTGAGTACATTGAAGTTATAAAGAGTTTGTTTTCAAAGAAATATTGTATTTTCTGTGTTGTCTTAATATCACATTGAACAAGTATTTGTGATTGTGTATGGAAGACTATGAACTGACCCACTGCTTGGTTTTGAGGGGCTTAGGTCTATTGTAAAAGACTTTTGCAAAACGGGAGGATAAAAATGGGGCCTGGTGACATAATGACTGAATGTTGCTTCTTTATTTTGCAGTTCCAGTTCCTAGCAGATTTAATAGACGAGTATCAGGTATGTGTTCTATTTCATAATATCCTACTAAAATGCTATTTTAAGTTAGGAATATATTTAAAAAACAGGTATTTTGAATAAAAAGATAAACTCCCGTTACAAAACATTATACTAACAGTAAAATTACCTATGGTTTCTTTATTCTGTTTTCATTTTAAGTTCTGAGTATGTATGTACATATTTTATATTGCTATAATTGGTATAGTTTGTCTTTTTACATTTATGTTATTACTGTTTTTCATGTTTATCATTACAGCTTTAAAAATGATTTTTATTTATTTATTTATTTATTTTTGAGATGGGGAGTCTCACTCTGTAGCCCAGGCTAGAGTGCAGTGGTGCGATGTTGGCTCAGTGCAAGCTCTGCCTCCCGGGTCCCGTTTCAAGTAATTCTCCTGCCTCAGCCTCCCAAGTAGCTGGGATTATAGGCACGTATCACCATGCCCAGCTGATTTTTGTATTTTTAGTAGAGAAAGGGTTTCACCATGTTGGCCAGACTGGTCTCAAACTCCTGACCTTGTGATCCACCTACCTCAGCCTCCCAAAGTGCTGGGATTACAGGCGTGAGCCACTGGGCCCAAGAAGAAATGATTTTTCTTATTACTGTTTCTGGTATTCTGGCTTATGCTGCCATTAACTCTTACATATACCTTTTTGAGCCACTTGAATTATTTCCTCAGTTTTAGAGCTAGAAGTGGCTTTCTCTGGTCAGAGACTAAGCATTGCCTTGGCTTTTTCTGTCATGTTTTCTAGAGAAAGTCCACAGATTAGGCTGCTTGGAGAAAGGCACCCTGTACATGCCTCTTTTCCACCACTATCTCAATAATATGGAATTTAGATGTAAAATAGTACTTCACATCATTTTATATACCATTTCTTTTGGTTGTTAAAAAAATTAATGCTGGCTGGGTGCAGTGGCTAATACCTGTAATCCCAGTGCTTTGGGAGGCCAAGGCAGGTAGATCACGAAGTCAGGAGTTCGAGACCAATCTAGCCAATAGGCTGAAACCCTGTCTCTACTAAAAACATAAAAATTAGCTGCTTGCAGTTGCGCGCACCTGTAATCCCAGCTACTCAGGAGACTGAGGCAGGAGAATCCCTTGAACCCAGGAGACAGGTTGCAGTGAGCCAAGATTATGCCATTGCACTCCAGCCTGGGTGACAGAGTGAGACTCTGTCTAAAAGAAAAAAATAGAACGCTTTCCAAATTTGTATTTTATTTATATGGGACTAGTTTGGTAATATTTTGCCCTTTTATCTGGTATAGTCCAGATTATTTTAAAAATAAGTGGCCAAGTGCAGTGGCTCACACCTGTAATCCCAGGACTTTGGGAGGCCGAGGCGAGCAGATTACGAGGTCAAGAGATTGAGACCATCCTGGCCAACATGGTGAAACCCCGTCTCTACTAAGAATACAAAAATTAGCTGGGTGTGGTGGCACGCACCTGTAGTCCCAGCTACTCAGGAGCTGAGGCGGAAGAATTGCTTGAACCTGGGAGGCGGAGGTTGCAGTGAGCTGAGATCACACCACTGCACTCTAGCCTGGCGACAGAGCAAGACTCCGTCTCAAACAAAACAAAACAAAACAATAATAAATTTGGGTAAATGTTTTATCCGGGTTTTTTTTTTTTTTTTGACCTTTTGAAATTTTTAATGCAAAATTTCCCTAGGTGGTTATGTGAGTTAGAGATGTTAATATATGACTGATACCTCAAACACTGCTGGGTACATAGCAGCCACTCAGTAAATATTTATTGAATGTGCATATCTTCTTTTTTTTTTAAAAAAAAAAAAAACAATGCGTTGATAATGAAGCAAAAAAAAAGATTGAGAAGGCTCTCCTTTTTTTCATAGAGCTGGTAAATATATTTTATGAAAGTTTTTTCTTAAAGTATTTGACTATTTGATAAATATGGAATTTGGTAGTAGAGTTAATGTGTTTCAGAATTGCTAGGCAAGTGGTATGTATCACACTGTTCTTTTATATTCCCTTGTTTTAGGAAGGTTTCTTGATTTGAAATTGTCATCTGACCTACACCTCATAGGGCTAGGAATCATTTTTCTATTCCCCAATCCTTGTCTTTGAGAAAATAGGCTCATTTGTGTTTTCAGAAAGCCTTTGTTGTCATTCTACACCAGTCTGTTGAAAGGAGGTTGAAGAGTATATTATGTTCAGAGAGTCAATGCCCTGAGAGTAGGGATTAAGGTTAGTTTGCTACTCATGAGATATTATCTTCCATTTCTGTTCATCTCTGCCCTGCACCTTTTTTCCCTCTGAAAGATTAGTTAAATCCCTTGACATCTGTAAGATAGGTCTGGGAGACGCAGAGTATAGTGACACCTCCTCCTGAGGTCACAGTTGGTATTAGTTTGTGAATTGCTGCTTGGCCCTCTGCTAGTGTTGTTCAGATCTTGAACCTTGTGGAAGACTCAGACAAGTACATATTACCCCTCCTCCTTAGATTTTATAATCTTAGGACTTAAAACCTTTTCATATCATTGAAATGTTAAATGAAAATAAAAGATTTTCAAAGAATTCAATAGGATGTTACAGAAGAGAAGGTATTCTGTAATCATACAAAAAGTATCCTGTAATCATACATAACATTTTTTTACTTGCAGACTATGTGCTAGGTGCACAGTTTTAAGGACTTTCTAAATGCCTTCCTTATATTGTTGAATATAATCTTCAAAATAACACTTTGAGTGAAGTCCACACCATGATTATTCCCAATTTACAGATGAGGAAATTCAGAACAAAGTAGAGGTTAAGTAACTTGCAATAGTTGAAGTGAGCATATGCCCAAAGGTAGCATGGATCCTAAGTACTACCCTTGCTATATCTAACGATCTTTCTAGTACCCTTTGGAACCCTTGGTTAGTTTTCAGCTTCATCCCCCAAATATTCACTCTGTTTTCTCAGGGCAGCTTTCACTTTCCAGCTGTTGCTGAAGCTTGGCTTTCCTTGTAGGCTTCTCAAACAATGGCTTTTTCCTCTTCCACCTTCCTTGTAACCCTGACAGGAAATGAGTGAATGTCTCTGTTGATTCTCCTAGCTGCTTCCAGACCATTCTCTCTCCCTTTTCTCTGAAACCTTCAGTTTATTTTTATTTTTTTTTCTTTCGCATTGGAGTTTGTTTCCATGAAACCTTCTGTTTAAAACTTCACATTATGACTGGATGTGGGTGGCTCATACCTGTAATCCCAGCACTTTGGGAGGCTGAGACAGGAGGATTGCTTGAGCCTAGGAGTTTGATACCAGCTGGGGTACTACAGTGAGACCACATCTCTCAAAAAATTAAGCAAATTAGCCTGATGTGATGGTGCACACATGTAGCCCTAGCTGCTTGGGAGGCTGAGTTAGGAGGATTGCTTGAGCCTGGGAGGTCAAGGCTGCAGTGAGCTGTGATCGTTCCATTGTACTCCAGCCTGGGTGACAGAGTGAGATTCTGTCTTTAAAAAATAAAAAATAAAACTTAGGTTTTACCAGCCACTGCTCCTCCTTGTTTTAGTCATCCAACAATTGCCAGGTTGTTCCTTGTTATTTCCACATATAGATGATTCTTCCAATATCTGGCCTTCCATTCTTTGACTTCCTCTCCTGCAAGGATCTTGTTCTCCAGTTGTCCACCCTACTTCAGCCACTAACTCCCAATGGTCATACTCTGGTATGACAGGCATTGCAACTCTTCATAATTTCAATGCGTGGTCCCATTCTGCAACCACTTCCTGCTGTCTTCTCAGCTCCTTTGCTGTCCTACTCAAACCTGGATAACTTGTTGATTCTGCCATTTTTTCACTGCTCCTCACTTCCTCCTTACTAACCTTAAATTCCTGAGTCAGTGATTATAATCACTTCCCTGCACATACCCTCAATTTGCTTTCCCCTTTTAAAAAATTATTATTATTTTTATTTTTGAAACAAGGTCTCACTGTTTATCTAGGCTGGAGTGCAGTGGCATGATCATAGCTCATTGTAGCCTCAATTTCCCAGGCTCCAGTGCTCCTCTGACCTCAGCCTCCTGAGTTGCTGGGACCACAGATGCATGCTACCGTGCCTGGCTAATTTTTGTATTTTGGTAGAGACGGGGTTTCACCATGTTGCCCAAGCTGGTCCTGAATTCCTCAGCCCAGTCAATCCACTTGCCTTGGCCTCCCAAAATGCTAGTTTTACAGGTGTGAGCCACCACGCCTGGACTTACTTTTCCTTTTTCACTTGCTTTGCTAAACCTACTTTGGTTAGGTTCAGTTCTCCACTTTGTACCTGCACCAATAATAGCTGAATCTGATTGGAGGAAAATAGATAACCTTACTGACTTATCTTACTTTCAGTTCATAATTATTAACTTGTAGTAGGCTCTTGATACTAGCAATCATGCTGTTTTCCCATTTTTTTTTTTTTTTTTAACAAATTGTTTTGAGATAGTCTCTCCATGTTGCCTAGGCTAGAGTGTGGTGAGTGGCACAATCTTGGCTCACTGCAATCTTTACCTCCTGGGTTGAAATGATTCTCGTATGTCAGCCTAATTTTTGTATTATTTTCTTTAGTAGAAATGAGGTTTCACCATGTTGGCCAGACTGGTCTTGAACTCCTGGCCTCAAGTGATCCACCTGCCTCAGCTTCCCAGCATGAGCCACCGCATCCAGCCTTTTAAAATAAATTTTAGGCCAGGTGCAGTGGTCCCAGCACTTTGGGAGGCCGAGGTGCGTGGATCACCTGAGGTCAGGAGTTCAAGACCTGCCTGACCAATAGGGTAAAACTGTGTCTCTACTAAAAATACGAAAATTAACTGCGTGTGGTGGTTGGCGCCTGTAGTCTCAGCTACTTGGGAGGCTGAGACAGGAGAATTTCGTGAACCTGGGAGGCAGAGATTACAGTGAGCCAAGATCATGCCACTGCACTCCAGCCTGAGTGACAGAGGGAGACTCTACTAAAAACACAAAAATTAGCCAGGCATGGTGGTGGGCTCCTGTAGTCCCAGCTACTCAGGAGGCTAAGA